TTAATAGGCGACAATAACACGATTACACTGATCCTCGAACGTATTGTTTTTTTGCATTAAATTTTTTTTTTTTTCAAATAAATCGGCGCGTTCAATAATCATATTATTATTGTTATTGTCACGGTTTTTACCGGGCGGCGGCGACAGCACCGGAAGTCGAGCTAATTGGGTGTAGACCGCGAAAACCGCATTGCAGGAAAAACGACGGTGCAGTGGATCGTGTAGGGTGTGAGTGTGTGTGTGTGTGCGTGTTAAAACACCGGTTGCTGTGGCGCTCGTTGTTTTCGGTGGGCGGCCGGGCGGGGAAGACGCGCGAGACGAAAAAAAATATCGGTTATGCGCCCCGGGTATTTTTTGGTTTCAAAACCCGGTATAGGTGATGTTGTGTGTGTGTGTGTGTGTGTGTGTGTGTGTGTGTGTGTGTGTGTGCGCGCGTGTATTTGTTTGTGTGTGTGAGGGAGTGTGTTTGTTTGTGTGTGTGATGGAGGAGGGCAGCGATGGAGTGGTCGGTACCAAATGGCGCGCACACTACGCGCGGCCGGCGCGCGTGCGCATAAACACTCTCCGGTCCGGGTGCCGCCGGGCCGTGTGCGGTAGTAAACCGTATACGTAATACGTATTATTATGAGCACATACGTCGGGACGGAGAGAGTCACGTGTCGGCGCATAATTTATAATTTCGCCGTCGCCGCCGTTTCTCTTGCCAGCCAGCCAGCGTGTGTCTTCTGCCGCACACACGCACACACACACGCACACAATATACGCGTGTGCGGTAGTGTGGGTATTGATTTAAAATCAGCCTATACTACGTATAATAATACGGGTGCGTGCGGACGGGTTCTAAGCGCGGCTGTGCGCGAAAATCCGATCGAAACGGACGGTCGAAAAATAATATTAATAAAAAAAAAAAATAAAAAAAACACCACGTACACGCGTTCATATAAATGCAAAACATTTAAACATAACATATTATTATAAAATAATATATCCCATCGCGTGGCAGGGGACGACCGAATTTTTTTCCAAGTAGTCCGGTACCGACCTTATTATAATAATACCGGCAGCGTTCAATCCATTTATTATAGTAGTAGAAGTAGTTGTAGTAGTAGTAACAGTAGTATTAGTAGTAGTAGTATTAGTAGTAGTATTGGTATTTTTATGCGTACGTCCTTTATTTTTCTTTTTTCCTAGGGATTTCTAACATAACGCGAAATTGCGCGTACAGTTCACATAATCCAATAAGCACGTATACCTTTGAAAGTGTTCTTAGAACGTTCGAAGCGTTTTTTACATTAATTTTTATCGAACTTGTTTCGCCGGGAAATAATATTCTTAAACACGAAATCGCGTAAGAATATAATTGCTTAAGTCAATCTTATCGTTAATTATTATCACGAGCTGTAACAAGTTACGATAATTCTCAAACGGCGTGCTCGTGGTTTTAATTGTTTTAGTTATTGAATTTCGTATTCAGTTTTTAGCTAGTTATATCAGTCATATGGTTCGAATAATTAATCTGTTATTCATGTATATTTTGTGTGCTAAACAATTTTAGAACATTGTAATAAAGTGATATAATATGTTACAAGTGTGTCTATTATTAAATCGTAATACTTACATAAGCCACGTAGGTGCGTACTTTATATTATAATACGTAAATCTGTTTAATAAACAACACACCTGCATTGAGATTCTAATAAGTATTTCCTACATCCTATGCTATAATCCTAAAAATAGATGCAATTTTGTTTTTCATTAAGATTTTTTTTTTTAAATTTTATCCATTATTGTTGTAATCGTTGTTTTTCTCATTTAACGTTCGCTTCCATGCTAATCCGGAAGTTAAGAAAATATATCAATATGAAAAATATAAGACTGCAGTCATGTACGCTGTGCACGTGTTCTACAGTACAATATATTATCTTAATATTATGGGATGCATTTCCAAAATTAAATACATAAACGTGAACATAATATTTTTTTGATCATAGATACAAATATTTTGGTAATACGAGTATAATTATTGTTATATTTACTTTTATTAAAATGTTATAGTAAATTTTATAACATTAATCGGTATACGTTAAAGGCATGGTTCGAGCGTTCACGCGTGTAATTGAATTAAATTAATAAATAAATAAAATTTATCTAACATTCTAACGTTAAAATATATATTTTACATAAGTTTTAAGTGGCTCTCAAAATGTAAATAGTAATTTTGACATTTGTATTTTGTAGCTAATGTAAATATTGCACAAATAACACAATTATAACATATTTGGTTATTGTAAGGGTAGATAATTAAATAGGCTGCAATATCAATAAATATATTGTATGTATTTCTTATGAATAAAAAATCGGAAATATGCACTAAAAGTTTTGAAATAATATATAAATTATACAAAATGCATTCACGTAAAATAAATATTTATTATTTTAAAGTATTTTTAAAGTATTATAAGTATTTAATACTACTTATGTATCAAGTTAATCAAATTCATCATTATTTTTTCCAAGTATAAACAATAAAAACATTAAATATATATATATATATATATATATATGTATTGTAATGTATATATTTATGAATAGATGCATTAACATAACATTTTGTATTTAAAATAGTTTTGTCTTGAATTAAATTAAATTACTTGATATTAAATTCTCAGTATGTTGTTACGATATTACGTATAAGAATATTTTTTCTACAGTAATATAGTATGGATTATAAAAAATAAATAATTAATTCTTTAAAACATTTTTTTTTTTTTATTAAATACTAGTATGGGTATTAAAATAATAAAACATTATGTATAGCGTTTGATAAATTTTTAAATTTATAATTCATTTTTGAATGACAACAGAAATTGCTATCATTAATTAATATGGTTAGACATTATCGTATTTTGGATTAATTTCGGGTAGGTATGTAGGAAACTTTAAATAGAAATTGACAAACGTTTTATTTGTTAAAAACTTTTAGCCCTAGAACATAATATTTATTTATTTTTTCGTATTATTCATTATCCATGTGACATAATAATATAATAAATTACTTTTTGTTTTCATATATATACGACCTATATCAATCACTGCAGGACATATAAAGTTGGTATCAATACAAAATAATAATAATAATAATAAATAATTATAATATAAGAAAAAAATACAACAATATTATTCTCCATAAAATATAATTGACTTGGCTGTTGTTTATTAAAAATTTATGATTAGAGAAATGTATAATAAAAGAGGGTGTACTTGTACGGTTATTTTGCTCATACTATAATTTATATTTATTTATAGCATTCCGGCAAAAGGCCTGTAGAAATGAAAGGACAGTGTTTGGGACGTCAGAGCCCACAAGAGGAACAATTGTTTTTATTAGGATTGGGGAATTATGAACGTCCTTTTCATACCCAACACGGCGTTAGTTTCAATGCTAACTTCTCTAGAGTTTATATTTCAAGCATTACACCCAAAAGAAATAGCGAAATAGCCGGTAACTGATCGAAGAATATTAATGGTTCTGTTTATTGAATTAAAATGTTGAAAATCAAACAAACTATACGGCGCACGCAAATTGAAATTATAGAAACAGTCTGTCGTGTGTGTGGCTGATTAATTGTAAAAGTTTTCCGTGGGCTGGAAGACATTGTTGAAGTATAGTTTTACTGGAATGTCAACCATATTTAGACTTATGTGATTTTGAATATATTTACCCTGAACACTATCTCTCGTGAAGTATTAGCGTCGTAAAAACAAAATTCTCATTCAAATGATTTATTGTTTGGGACAGAAACTATGAGTAGACCTGATTACACTTTATATTAATTTCAGTATATTGTTCATACTGTATATTATATTTTATCGTTATCGTCGATTGACGCTTTATTTGTGTATTATATATTGTTATGTCTATGAACTATTAGTCGACTTATACATTACATTATTATTATTATTAATATCATAAATACATATATATTATATATAGAAATAATCGGAAGACAGTAAAATTTTCATAGCATAATGATGTTACAATGTATTTATCGTAAAATATGTTATAAACATTTTCGGTGCAAAATATCTATACTTAAATAAAACTTGTTATTTGATATTAATACAATTTATAATTATTTTATTATTTAAAACAATTAATTATTCTAAATTGATAGAATTTAAATTTATTAATTATTATATATTTACTTTAACAATTATATGATACCTATAAATAAGTACCTAAATATATTTAAATATTTTATAAAATATGACATAAGTATAGAAATAATAATGGTTAAAGTCTTTCAAAAATGTATTTTATTGCAACATAATGCTATTAGCGAGTTGAAGCAGGAAATATTTTGTCGCACGTGCATTTTCATATAGCGGTAAAACTTTCAAATGCTTTACGATCATGGTATGCGTGCGAATGATAGAGAGGGAGTTTGCAGTTTTAATAACAAAGATCTCAAAGTTATATTTCACGCAATTAAAACTGAGTTGATTCTCAATAAACTTTCGTTTATAACTAAACATTCGCGTTCATTAACCGAAATTACTGAACGTCTTTATCAAGTAGGCGTTTATATTAAAAACCATATATCTACTAGAATACTCGCAAAAGCTATTGGGTATTCAACAAGTATTGTATAGATTTGTAAATTTGTAAACTCAATTTGAAAAATAAACTAAATTTAAACAAAATGAACAAATAGGTGATAATTACATACATTTCTAGTGCAATATAGTATATTAAGTACATTTATATAGTATGCTCATTATTTAAAATCGATTTTATTATTATATACATATTTATAACATGTAAGCAAATAAAATATTTATTTTTAATAAACTATATTTATTATAATATAAATGATTTTTCACTGGTAAATCTGTAGTTAAATGTAATAGCAAGTGACAATTTATTTTTTTATTATTAATTTTAGCTAAACATTTTTATTCATTCTTATTAATGTTTGATTTTTGTTTTATTTTTATAGATATGATTGAAGATCATCGAATTGTATTGGTTAATTTGATATAAAAATAAATCACAGTCAAAACTTTATCTGAGGCAACGTGAAATGGTACTCAGGTGATGGACAAACGCCTCGCTATGATTCCATTCGCATTCTCTAACAAGTCTGTCCATTATTGGCTGTGTTGTCTTCTTACAGTTATCATAGCACGATCAGCGCATACAAGTAAGCCTTCAGTTTTATTAAAAGTATAATAAAAATGATGTACAGTAATTTACCCATCTAGTATAAAATCATTAAATATCTATTTGAAATAAATTTATTCGTATCATTTTTATTTGTTTATGCTTAAACTATGTTAAGTATTCTCAAACTACTGATGTTGCATTTTGAGTTTCTTCATAACATTATGATATACTTTAATAAAACAGGTTTTCAAAAAAAAAAAAAAAAGAAGAAAAACGTAAAATACGTATGTTTATTGTACATAACATTATAATGGAGTAATATATAAGCAGCGAACAAATATAATAGTTGTTAAAAAAAAGAAAAAAAGTACTTTCTTAATATTTATCATTAACATTTTCCTTAATTAATATTATATTTCATATTTAATGGAGAAGAAAGGATCTTGGTAATTAAAAGTAGCTTTTAACGTTTTAACGTTCGGTAGTTAAAAATATATACGTATAAATTGTTTTTAAGACCGGAAACACTCAACGGGAGAGATGAGGAATGTCATTTGTGTCAGGAGGATGTCCGTTACAAAGACATTATATTATAAATAACAGGATTTAATTTTTCTCCACCCATCGTACCTTTCATTATGCTAATGTTCGAATGGCTCATGGAGATTATGAAAATACATCTCGGGCAGAAGGTATAAAACCACAAGCTACGATTCCCAAATTATATTGACACGGCTGTTTGTATAGGTAAGCCAACTACGTGTGTTCGCCAATACAAATTAACCGTACGTCATAATATTAAAATAACATATTATAATTTTTAAATATTGTAGAATTTTTATCTAATTAAGAGATTACAGTTTCAGACTTAAAATAATATAGTGAGAATCATATTTTTTTGGAATTAGAGCAAGGATAATACGCTTTAACAATAGTAAAAAAAAACTATATTTGAAATTGGGAAAATATTTTAAAATGTATTGTTTTTGATTTATGCGAATAGTTTAAAGTATTTAACATCACAATTCAAACAGATTTTCAGAGTTACAAAAATAATATATCCTTATAATATAATAAAATAACGGGATTTTAATTTTCACTATATCAACTTGTCATATTTTACTATAAATAATTATCTTACTGTATACTACTCATTTATACGTATTAAATTAATTAAGTCTAAATCATATTATTATATTATGAATAAATTATTTAATAAAAATAATTAACAAAATAGGTTGTGGTTATATTTTTAAATATATATTTTTAATTGTTTTAAAAGTGGTTAATACTTTTTATAACTATGTATTACTTGGATGAAAATATTAAATTTGTATTTTTAATTTTAAAACCATAATTATAACATTTTAAATCTATTTAAAGAGCTGTTTATATAGTTACTTGTGATGTATATTTTTTATTTAATGATCATTTTTTTAAATAAGTTTATAAATTAATAATTAATTTAAAATCAGTTTTAAATAAACATGAATTAAATTTAATAAAAAAATAATATCAATGGTATCATTATATGATATTATAAATTTAAATATTTTTTATTTATTTTGTTTTCAAGTAGAAACTAATAATGGATTCATGACAATATAAATTGTTCATTTGATGATTTATTTTTTTACAATATTGAAGTTTTACAATACTAACAAACCTAAATGGGAATCTACGACTTATTTCAAATCAATAGACATGCTATATGAAGCTTTTAGAGCACTTTTATTACCTTAAAAAAAGGGTTCTAAAATAAAACATTATTTCTGGTTATTGCTTAACCAATACCTTTCTGGTTTTACTAAGAGTTTAATGTATTGTCTTCATTTCATTGAACTAGCTCATATAAAAGACATTCCAATAAAATATTATAGAAAAACCTTTACTCATGTCGGATTAAAGTAATAATAGTTATTATTTTATATTCACAATATTAGTTTATTTTATTTAATAACTATTTTATTAGTTATATGATAGTTATTAAATACTACTTAATTGTTTAGAATTAAATCGTAGTATAAAATCATATTAATAAAAAAAAAAAAATTATCAGAAATATGTTAAAATTCATGAAGTGATAGAGTAGATTAATTCAAAATAACTGCTATTGAAACCAATTTTAATAGAATTTAAAGATGATGTTAAGAATTTGAACTTTAAACTCAAATGGGCCAACGTGTTTGAAGTCATTACATTTTTATACTATCACAAAAATGACTACAAACTCAATTGTTCACTTTATCGGAAAATCATTTTAACTATTTTTTATAGCCCGTAAGGACTTTTATTCTTTCAAGCCGTAAAAACACAAATCTTTTTTTAAGAAAAAGAAACCGTTTAGTTTAGTTAACGGTATCGTTTTGATCGGAGACCAGTCGCGCAGAAAACTGTTTTTTTTTTCTACTATTTTTATTTTATTCGTTCTTTTTCAATACCTTGGGTCTTTATTTCCGTTTCTTGGATTTACCCTTCATTCTTTATTTCACCCCAAAAGAAGACACAGCTGGGCCCTAGAGACGCATCCAAACAAGGGGTCGCTGAAACAACAGGCAAGACCACACAAAAGTTTATCGATCGGTCAAAGTTCAAATGTGTCTCTACCCGACATTTTGTAGTCAATCACTGAATTTCACTAGATGAATATACTAGTGAAGAAAAAGACAAATTTCATGATTGATTAGTTAGTTGAAAAACGTAATGTTTATCTAAATATTGTGCGACGAATAGCAAAATATTGTAGTATAGTTTCTGTTATGTTCGCGAGTTGTTTAATTCTTAACTCAATTGATAAAAACTAATAGTCTTGAGAACCGTTATCTTTTCAAAAAGGGGTACATTAGGAACTACGATTATCACGGTCCTTATACAACGTTGAAACGGAAGCTCCTCAAGCGTGAAATAAACTGGTACTTTCTTAACGGTCAAAGTAACAATATCTACTTCCTCTCAGCGACAACACAGAAACTTTGACTACAACCATAAAGTTTTCTTTTGACCTGACATGGCCACAAGTATGCTGAAATTCGAGTCCATTCACTTTCCTTAAGTCTCCAAAAGTAGACAAAACATTATAACCCGGAATAAACTTAAGAAACAACAATAAAGACATAATATTCTGATAATCAAAGATTATTTCTAAAATAATTTTATCAACATTCATGGCATTCAAATTGTATGTTTATTAACTAAAATATAGTTGTTTGTTTAAATAAAAACAATCATGTGGAGTTTATTATTAAAGTAATCGAGAGTTATTTCAGATAATATAATTTTAACAAGCATACTTAAAATAATTAACTTTGTTAGTATAAGAAATGTATTTTATTAGGTTGATTTATTATTTTTAAATCGTTTTAAAATAATTTATAGATATCTTGTAAAATTTAACAAAATATATAAATAAGATACTGTATTCATATTTTTCGCAAAGTTTTATAAAATTATAAAAATTTTTATTTTCCTTCAAATGATATCAACTTTACGAAAATAGTTACGTTTATAACTTATTACCATTATTTTAAAAATAAATAACAAAAATAAAAGTAAGTTATCTGTAAATAAAATTAAAAATATTGTTTGCATTTGAATTTCATTACTTTCTTGTACCTGTATACTAATTAAAAACCCGATTAAAAAATAATACTTTAGTATAAAACTAATTTGTATTTCAACACAATAAAATTAGTTTGAAATCGATCAATAGTTATTTGACAGAAATTTATATAAAATAAAAAGGTACTTTACTCTTTAAAAAAAAAAAAAAAAAATAATATAATTTACAATTTTATATTATATTATTGATTACCATAGTTGTTGGCAGTTTCTTAAACAAATAAAAAAACATGACCAGTTCATCTGACGTCCAGACGATATCGAATCTATATTATTATTTCCATTTAGTTCATATAGAATTCCAGACAAAAATATTTCTTATTTTTCATTTTCATAAAAGCAATTGTACAAGACAATAGTATAGAAATTCATTATAACGGTATTGGAGTGTATATATATTATCCATATAGTCCGTAGGGAGAGGAATACGAAAAAAAGAAAAATACAAAAGTAACCACCGGTCCCTTTTTAAATATTAATACACTTCATATCTGAACTATCGTTTCTCTGAGCATTCATATTTAATAATATAAAAAAATTTCTTCTTTCTGAAGCGTCAGTATACAAGTTTTATGACCGGTAAATTCAGTTTGACAGGTTATGAAAGTGGTGGGGCAAGAGTTGATGGCAGTGAAGTGAAGGGAGACCCGAGGGAAATTACGCGGGGGTCCAAATGAAAAATACCGGAAAATTCACTTAAAACAACCCAGAATATTTTACGATTATTATTAGTCTTGTTTTTTGCTCTGGTTGTTATTCTCTGGCCCAAAATAGCTTCTCCCTCGTCGTCACCGCCCATATTTTTTTATGTTACTTTTACGACATTGTCCTACCGTTTAACTTTTTCCTAAACAATTTTATGACGTTCTCATCGAGAAAAAATTGAACTGAATCATTTATGGTCACAATTTGTTAAACGAATTTTTTTAGTATGTATAAGTAAATAAAAAAAAAAAAAAACAAAATAAAATAACGATAATGTGCAAAATTAGTCGTGAGGAAATATTTAAAACATTTACCATAATATTTTTTAAACGTTGTAGAAAGAAAATATTTGAAAAAAAAAATGTTTTGTATTCTGAAAGTGTATAATATATTCTACTGACCAAAATATGCATCTAGAATACTAAAATTTAGTTTAAATAATTGAATTGTTGACAGAGAGAGGATACACTTGAAATATTTTTTATAATTCACTATAAATATGAATTTTACTTATATGTTGTAATTTATATTTTTTAAATACATCATTGTATTTTTTGGTTAAAATATTTACATATATGACTTATAATGATTCTTGTTGGGTCGATGATTAATCTATTATATAAATAATTATTAATTAATAGTGGTTTATTAAATCAGTTATTTTTATGCTATATAATAACTAAGCATCTAAATAAGTAATAAAAATACAGTTTT